TGCTTTGGCTTCTAATGCTTTAGAATGCCCTCGGGGCCACACATTCAAACTTCTAGATACCAATATATGAACTAGAAATGTCTTTCTTCCTCTTTCTTCCATAGTCAATAAAAAAAATCTAAGAGACCTATGATAAAGCAGCAAGAGCATTAAAAGTTGCATCTGTTAGACAGAATTCTGTACCAGTCAATACCTCTCAGTTCAATTTCCCTCATGTTAGTCAATAGAATTACTTATGCGAGTAAGGGCTATAGGACTGGTGCCTTAAAACTTACTTTTCAATCAAGAAAGCTCATGGCAATATTGTCTGCCTAGGTAATTCAAAATGAGCTGTTGAAAGCTTCCACAAGGATTTATTGCCTAACATGAGGGAAATTGAACTGAGAGGTATTGACTGGTACAGAATTCTGTCTAACAGATGCAACTTTTAATGCTCTTGCTGCTTTATCATAGGTCTCTTAGATTTTTTTTATTGACTATGGAAGAAAGAGGAAGAAAGACATTTCTAGTTCATATATTGGTATCTAGAAGTTTGAATGTGTGGCCCCGAGGGCATTCTAAAGCATTAGAAGCCAAAGCAAATGACATGATTTAAGAACTTTAAATCATAAAAAACTTTATAGCACTTTTAGGCATGATTTATGGGAGGCAGTACACAGCCTTCCTTCCCCAACAGAAGCTCCAGGAAGCTGGGGAATAGGGTCTTGATATTTTGTTCTGCAGCAGGATATGCAGCTCTCTGCTGGCACAGAAGGACCAGAAAAGCACCATATCAATTGATGTGCTAGAGGAAAAAGAGGCTTCTTGTACATTTTCTCTCTAGCGAACTGGTCTGGGCTTAGCTATTATTTGTCCTCATGTACCATACTTGTTGCATGGAACATGGTCCCAAATAAAATACGCACCTTCTTTTTAAAAGGCAGAAGGAAGATACAGGTTTCCCTCGCTCTATGCGGGTTCTGTATGTACAAATTTGCTCTTATGCAATGACCATCTTTATACCAAAAATTTGTTATATGCAAGATAAATTCACTCTGATGTGATTGGTGTGGTGGAAACCCAGAGTCAGGTGCTTTGTGTGGTGCATTGTGGGAGGGATGTGCACCAAAATATTCTCCTGTGTGGATCTGTGTTGGTGAATACCAAAATACCAAAGTCTTGTAAGAGTGGTAGAAATGGGTCTGGGGGTCAGTACAGTTGAGGTCTTAGAATATATCTCTATTTGTTACATTGTAAAGTGGGTTCCCTTTATGCAAATTCACATTATGCTCCTTTTTCCGGGAACACATATATAGTATAAAGCGAGGGAAACCTGTATAAAGATATTTTTTGTAGAGCCTCAGGTCAGGGAGAGGGTCAAGTGTCCATAGCCAGTATGCAGCTTTGCTTTCAGTTTCCCTTGGCAGAAGCTTAAGTAACAGTAACTGTTGTTAGCATATTTCCTTGATTATCAAGTATACCCCAATTTCCAGCAGCTCAATAGTTAGAAAAGGTGCACGTTGCATGTGAGACAATATGATATTCAGCCTTTGGGTTTGGATAGCAGTACAATAAATTCTGCTTTATTAAATATTAGTTTTACACACATTTTGGATATTTGTGTGTTTTCCTATTGGACAAAATAATTTACTGTCTCTTCAGTTAATTTTGTCTTGTTTATTTGACTATAAGCTTTTAGTCTATTTTGGTTTATTGTATAAAGAAAAACTAGAAACCAAAGTCAAAGATCAAATAATGCAGAGTGAGCAGTGCATTGAAAGAGCTTTCCCCTTGCAACAGATAATGCATCATAACATTGCAAAACATGAAAGTTTTAATAGTCTGGTGAATGAATACATGTTGCTTTTAGTTGTTTTCAGTCAATCAGTACATCTTACTTTTTGAGGCATACTTAACACTATACTATATCAGGGGTGATCAACCTCCAGCCCATGGGCCAGATCTGACCCACAGCACTATGTCATTTGGCCCACAGGGCTCTCCATGGGTCTGAAAATTTGGCAGCAGGGGATCAGTGGCACTGCCTCCCTACCGCCAAATCTTCTGACCCATGGGGAGCTGGCTGGAGGTGTCAGTGGGAGTTCTGGACCCACAGGACCCAATCTCCAGGTGCAGAGGGTGGGAAAGAATGGCATCTCGCCCCGGGGTCCAGTCCCAGTACACAGGGCAGGAAAGGGGTGGTGTCAGGCTCTGGGGCCCAATCTGACCCATAGACAGGCCTTGTGTCACTCCTCTGGCCCAATGGACCAAAAATTTGAGCACCACTGTATTAGATCATTCATGCAGTCTAAGAAAAAAGAGAGCTTATCTGTTACAAATTCACATCACATTGTCAAGTGTGAGGGTATAATTGGGCACAAGATATGGTTCAATAACAGTAGCAATAAATTTCAATTCATTTGCCCACAAGTATTTAAGAGCTGGCAAAAATTAAGTGAAACAGCTCAAAGCATAGTGCCATGCGGTGATCAGGAATTATATTACCTGTTTCTGGTCTATTTTTATTATTTTTTATCTTGCCCCATTCCACTTTTTACCATGGTTAGCCATCTGCATAATTTTGCAAATAACATATATTTATTGTGTTAAGTACTAAAATGGAGGCTTTAGAATTGGACAGTTTTAGAGGACTAAAGAATTGATGGATGTGTCTTTAAACTATTTTTTATGAATGGAGAATGTTAAAAAAAGCAAACATAGGGCAAATTCTGTCTTTGAACCGGGGCTTCTTTTTCATGCAGAACTTACAATGTTGCAGTTCCTACCCCTAAAATTATGTTATGTTTTATAAATTTTAGATACTTCAAACAAAAGCCTAACAAGCCATTTTACACCCTAGATAGTGGCAGTGGCTGGGGCACTTGCAATAGCCAGAATGGCAGCAGTGGCAATTGCCAATCTTATATTTCCTCCAAGTTGCCACCTAGAGCTGGTGGCCCACTTGGCCACCCTGGAGCATGTGTAAAGACACCCATTGTCTAGTGCATCAGCACACTTGGTGCTTGCTTGGTCTTATTGTTGCCAAACTAAATGGTATTCTCTGGGGCATTTTTACATTAAAGCTTTGAATCCGGGAAAGGAACACTGCCAAGTTGTTTGAACCTTGGGATTAATTTGTTAGGTGTTTGTTATATTTTGTGTTGAAATGGCCTTTAAATTGTAAATGCAAATATATATCTATGTGTAAAATGTGCTACTATGTTGTTGGGAAGTAAAAATAAATTGACAATTATTGTTAATTCAGACCAAGATTTTAGAAAAGAGGTGCTTAAAGTTACCTTCATAGGGTGTTTCCAGAGGCTGCTTTGCAGCTTTTAGCCCTATAGCCTGGTCTAGATACCGAAATACATGGGCTGATTTTCAGTAATACTAAAAATCCTGAGCTCCCATGAAAGCCTAACTTCTAGGTCCCGACTTTGACAATCTTGTTTTTTGGATGCAGAGGGAAGTAAGGTTTCATGTATGCTTTTGCTACATTTGTGATCAGAAGCCCAAGTAAAGCCCAACCACTTAGTAGGTAATACTGTTGATGTCTTTTAAGCAGCAAATTAAACCCTTATTTGAAACACAGAAATAAAGGTGTCTACTCTTGAGAAAACATAAAGCTGACAGACAAAATATGTTTCAACCTCTACACCCAAATCACTGAGATTAAAAACATCTGGAAGGTCACTTGGTTAGGCAAAAATGTGTTCTAATTTACGCCACTGAAATAACACCATTGATGCTGATACTTTCTATAGATTCAGGTGCTGTTCAGCATGGTTCAATGCACCTTTCTTTCTTTTTTTTAAGATCTGGGATGCTCTTTAAAAAGAGCTGGGTCTGGGCTGGGCAGCCATTGATGGGGCTGGGAGAGCAGGCAGGGGATGGGGCTTGTTTGATTAGGAGATTTGGCCAATCTGACGGTGGCCAAATCTCCAAATCAGATTGGGCCAAATCGATTTGAGACAGTGATTTGAATCACCAGATTGAATCACTGTCCCCCAAAACGGCCAAATCCGAATCTGAAGTGAATACTAGCCACTTCGCACAAGCCTAATGAGCAGCATCATCACCTTCTTCCAGGACTGGGTGTGCTGTGGAATTCCCTGCACCCTTCCATGTGCAGAGGGAGAATAGGGGGAGGTAAGGGGCTGCAAAGGGAAAAAGTTGTAGGGGCAAAGGTCAAGGGGGCCACCTCACCCCCACCTTAGATTTATTTTCCCTGCTTTAGCATTGGGAAGGGGACAAATTCAAGGCAAACCTCCAATAATTAGATTCTATAACTGGAAAATTATAGCACATTTATCAATTTTCCATACATGGGATCTAGTTACTGGGGGGGTCATCATATGTTCAGGGTTGTCTTATATTTTAGTAAATACTGTATTAACAGATGGGGAATTGGAAAAAATTTCCCCATAGGAATATTATTATATCATAATTGTACATTCTGTATACCTCTGCTGAACTTCTGGTTCTGGCCATCATCAGAGACAAAATGCTAGTAGTGGTTTATTCCATAAGATAACAGGTAAAAAGGTTATTTGCTTTTGGTCTCCTGTAAGAAACATCTTGATATTGATGGGTATAGTGATTATAGCTCTCTCATCAATTTCTGAAAAGGTCATCCTCATAAAACCACTTCATCAAAGGTACAGTACGTTAAATGCTCACAGATATTTCAAGACATACTTTTTAAAGGAATAAGAGCATCTAGTTACCTTAGTGTTCATCTTGGAAAATTATCACTTAGGAATCATTATTAACTATGTCATTTACGTTGCTTAGGAGACAGATGATGAAGATAAATCTGATAACAGGGAAGAAGACAAGGAACCAGCCTGCAGCTCAGCTCCAATGGAAGCCAAGAGAAGACGCAGTTTGTGGTATGCTAGTCACTACCCAACTGATGAGAGAAAAGTAAGAGCTGGGAGAACAGGCTCCCTGTATCAAACATATTTCAAATGCATAGCTCATTCTCTTGTGTTAACTTTGTAATTAATGTTTGGTTTGGGGAGCAGTGAGCTCTAGTTTCCGAACTAAAGTGTGTATGTGATGAGCAGATAAGACTAAGAATGGGGTGGAGCAAAAATATTGTTATTCTCTAACATTCAGTAGAAGCAGTACGTCTGTGGGCCAGTCTGGGGAGATCAATCCCTCCCAGCCTCCCCCATTCCAGGATATATAAAGCAGCCCAGTGTAAGAAAAAGCTGCACAAGTTTTATACCTCAGAAAGACCACAGCTCATCAACTTGAGGGGATTCCCATTCGGCTAGCTGCACCCAGATTTTGGGTCCAGAAGTGTTTAAGTTGAGCCTTATAGTAACATACTCAAATTCCAAGAATACTACTTGGACATCATGGCCGTGTATAGACAAAATGAGGAGCATGTGTACACGACACTTTAATGTTGGCTAAATGCTTTTGCACCACTTTAATGCTGTCGGTGTCTACACGCATCGATGGTGTATTGTGCATTAATCACAGCTGCTGTAGCAAATTTGGTGGCATAACACACCTTAAATGACTTGGGGCACAGTTTGCTGCCCCTACAGCTGCGCAGCAAAGCACCGGGCTCTATGCATCTCAGAGGCTCTGCAGAAAGCCCTGCTGGAAGCCTGGCAGCAGCCCGGGAAGGCAAGCTCCACCTAAGAAAAGCAGCGAGCCTGATCTTTTTTCCCCCCCGGGAGCCTGCCTCAGCTGCATGGGGACCCGGTGCTTCTCTCCACAGCTGTGGTGCCCCCAGGGACCACCCAAGCCAGGTGCCTGCAGGCGGGTGCTATCTGGGGTGGGATGCCACTGCCGCAAAGGGAAGTACCAGTTCCCCCTCTTCCCCAGCAGCCTAGGGACTGCTCTGCCTGCCAGTAGCTTGCCTCCCCTCCCCGCCGCCGGAGAGGTGGGTAAGTGTGTGTGGGTATATGCACGATACAGGGATTTAAAGAGCCGTAAATTGAAGCAGTGTTTTTAAAAAGCCACCTCTTCAATTTAGGGCCCCCATTTTGTCTACACACATCCCATAATAATAAATAAATGGTGCTTACAGCTGTGAACTGAATCCACTGAGCAACAAACACATTTCTGTATTTCTATGTCTAATAATTTCAGTGGAAACTTTAATACTTCTGTATCTTTGCCTGGCTATTATAGAAAAGCCAACAGAACACATATGTTTGAAGTATTCCCAGTTTCATGTTATGTAAGCTGGAAGGCTGGTAACAAACAACTAACAAAAAGTCAGTTATCAGACAGGATACATTATATGCTATCCCACTTTCTTACAAATTGAATGCCTTCATACAAATGCTTTCAGAGCTCCAGTATGTATGTAACACATTTACAACATAAAACAATTGCAGCAGACAGACTTTCTAAAGTAAAGGCATGAGAGAAAATGTTTTCAGTGGAAAATGTAAATAAGGCATAGGATTAGTGGAATGAAGAGATGGCACAAGCCTGCTTCAAATGACAGAAGCTTCAGAGAAGGTGGCTCTGAAATGAATGACTGTAAGATTTTACTAATAAGCAGATGAGGCTTGTATGAAAAGAGGGACAGGAACAAAGGAAGTAAAAAAGAAGGACCAGATCAACAGGAGAGTCACAAACAAGTCTGTGTAGGAGTTATACACAAGGAAAGCAGTATTGAACGAAATCCTGAAATGGCATCTCATGGAGGTGGTGTCAGAAGAGGGCAGCACTCTGTGCATGCTGGATTTTAGGTCCATGTGAGAAGGACATGGAGAATGAAGATGTAGTCATCTAACAGAGGAGTTGAAGGCATGAATGTGGGGTTCAGCAGAGAGGGAGGTGAGGCAGTGCAATGCAAGGAGGGGGAAGAGCAGGAGACATCAGAGTGAAGTATAAATACAAGACTATGAACCCTAAAAGTAGGTGAAAGATGTAGGTAGAGCGGAGAGCTAGATTAGAGTTACACACTAAGATTAACATCTTTCTCAAGAGGAGCTGATGATTTTTTACATACATAATTTTTGTCAGGTGGTCCTATCATCATTATTAGAAAATGGATAAGAAACACCTACAGTGGTTCTATACAAAGTTTAGACTTAGACCAGGGGAGCTCAAACACCAGCCTGCAGGCCACATCTGGCCCATGGTGCCATCAAGTTCCTCGCGGATCCAAAAACTGGCAGCAGCAGTGTGGTAGCATTAGCTGGTAGTCCCCTGCTGCCAAATTTGTGGACCTGTGGGGAGCCTTGCAAGCTGGATAATAGAGCCCTGTATGCTACACTGGATGTGCGGGACAAAGCAGAAATGGCACAGGATCTGATCCAGGTGTACAGGGCTGGGCAGAGGCAGCATGGGGCCCAATATGGGCACATAAGAGCCCATGGAAGTGGCCAAGGGTCCAATCTCGAAGTGCATGGGCTGGCTGAAGGCAGTGCAGGGGTCAACCTGGCAGTGTGGGCCTCAACAGAGGCAGCATGAAGCCAAGTGCAGACAACATGGAGCCCAATCTGGCAGCACAGGGCCCATCAGAGGCAGCACAGGGCTTGATCCAGTAGGTTGGCGGACAGTATGGAGGTAGAATGGGGGCCAATCCAGTAGTGTGAGGCTGAGGGAAGTGGTATGGAGCCCAATTCAGCAGCATGAAACCCAGTCTGGAAGCACTCTGGCCAAGCAGAGGCAGCTCAGGGCCCAGTCCTGGCACGTGGGACCGTATCTGGTCTGCAGACTGGTCCCACACCAATCCTCCAACCTGTGAAACCAAGAGGTTGAGCACCACTGACTTACAGTGAAAAATCTAAGGCAATAAAATGTGACTGATATGATAGTATCATTTTGCTTTACACAATCTTGTCATGTTCCATACCAAAAGCCCATCCCTGCCATCTTTATTCAAGAGGGCAGATTTGATGAAAAAAAAAGATTGGCAAATGGGGCCTTATAGGTTACATATATTTTTATGGCTTACATTTCATTATAGATCTGATTATAATAAACACATATGTATGCGTGACTGCATGTGGTACTGATTACCTATACAGGAATATCTTTACTTGCTCAATAGAAAATTGTTTGTAAACCACATGTAATGTAAATGTAAGCCGCATGTTGTGGGCTCATTTGGCAAGTAGAAATTGCCCAAAATGTGGAGTGAGTAGTTAATTCTTCTAGCCCATCTCAGCTGTTGTCAGTGCTGTCCTGCTAACATCCTTTAGGTTGAATAGGTCCTGTCCATTTCAAGACTTCTCTTAGAAGCAAAGCGCTTTGAATAACAGTGTAAGAAGCCTCAGTGAGGTAAAAGCACCCAAGACTGAGCATATGTTCTGCATAACAGTGCAATGAGCATTAGTAAAATGAAAAAAGCTGAGAGCAAGCTGTTCTGCATGGACTAGCAGGTATGCTTATATTGCCTTTGACTGTGACTGTAGCACTAAAACCAAGGGGATTTAGTGAATAACTAGTTCCATTTGTGTGAATTATGTGGTTGCACACCTCACCTACAGCTTTGTAACTGGTTTATACTGTACTGGACTAGGCGATGTGATGGTACAAGAGGTTGAGTTTGAGTGTGTTTCAGGATACTGTAGTAACTGCACAATCGGAATGATGATACAGTACAATCAATATCATTTCATTGATCATAATGTACAATTCTGTTGGCCTCTTAAAAATTTATTATTGCTTCATTCAAAACAAATCTCTTGAGAGGGTCAGAAAATCTGCATGTGTATATTAAATCTGTTAAACATATTAATGCTTGAGCTATGCTGCTTGATTAATATTCTGTCCTTGCATTGCTTTTTGCAGCTTCTGTCAATGACCCAAGACGAATACAAGCCATCAGATGTTAGTATACTATCAGTTTTTGCAATTTATTTTTACTAACATAAATGACTTTAAAATGTATTCCATTGATGGTAGACAAATGTACTGAAACTGTTAAAAGGTTCTGTTCTTTTGATTAACATATCATTTACACTACAGTCTTTCTTATTCAAACCTCCATACTACCTAAAATGAGACAGTGTTCCGTTACCTATTACTTAAATGAGAATTTCCTTGATGTATTTAAACTTACTAATGCACACCAGAATGACCAACATTGCACCAACTAGTAAAAGATCTTCCCTATTTCATTGTATTTTAAGCAGAGCATTCAACTCTTCTTTTTAAGAAGCTACTTTAAAACTTGATACAACTCAGGCGTTGCGTATTTTAGTTGTGTGCTCAGTGGCCCTGTTGGAATGACTTACTCTATACTTGAATTGTATTTTGTAATGACAGAAAGTCTGACTCTCTATTGAAACAAACAACATCATTTGTTCACTGGCAGGAAATTCTACTAGGTATTAGAAAGACAAATGTTGTTTCTCAGTCTCATCCCATCACAAATAAAGGGTGCAGAATGCCTTCCCGATGCAGACTGAAATCAGCTGTGTCAAACCTGAACGTGGCTCACAGCTCACGTGCGTGTCTATTTCTGCAAAAAAATCACAGTATTTTTGATGATGAGACTGGAATGTTTCCAGAGAACTAATTGCCACTGGACTTTAGAGTCTTAACATTATTTCCACAAGAAAAATATCCTCTCCCCTCTTAGATTTACAGGGATGAGACATCATCTATTAGCCACCACCTAAATAGGTTTTCTCCAGTCTGAGAAAGATTTTAGCTTCTTCTGGTAGAACCTGAGGCCAAACAAGGACAACAGTGTGAAATTTAATTCACAAAAAGGAAAAACATTACAGGAAGGAAAATTCAATTAGTGCTAGCAAGTGGCATAAACAATGGAAATAAAAAGCCAAAAAAATGTATTTTACTAATTGTAATGAACACAGACCATTCTAATAACAATTTTAAAATGCAGTTCAATTATTCATTTTCATAGCTTTTGAACTCACGGAGGTGATATGGGGATTTAAGTAATGTTTGTAAAAATTTAAAAAAAGAGATAAACTTGTGATGTAATGGGATGTACTATATAGAAGTGAAAATTGTTGTTACAGGTCTGTTAAAAAATATTTCGTAAAGTCACTGTCAATTTATTAGCTTAAAATGGTTTTCCAAAAATTGTTCTTGGAACTGTCATAGAGCTGAAAGGAACCCCTGTACAGATTCAGGATTCAGGATTTCTACAATTAACATATGGATAATTATTGTCATGTTCCTTAGTAAGAGTCCAACCTTGCAAAGCTTCCTATTTTTTTTAAGATCTAGGCTTCATTAAGTAAGGTATTGATAGAAAGAAACCTTTGACTAGCCTATAACTTGTGCTACAAGCCTCTCTGTTATCTAAAACAGGATCTTATTCCCCATCGCCTAATTACACCAAGGATTCCCTTGATTCTCCAAAATTTTGTTTATTTAAACTTGCTAATTATTTGCCAGAAGAAACAAGAAATTGCATATTCTATTTCTTTAATGTATTAAGAACAGTACTAGAAGAAGCATGGTAATAAGTATACAACTCTCAGAAGCTTTTGTAAAAGGAATGCCTTTCTCTGATCCACACCTGGCAGGTCTTGCTGGTAACAGTGAATGGAACGCCTGTAGATTATCACACTATTCACCCCACACTTCCCATGGAGAATGGACCAGCCAAAGCAGATATGTATTCAACACCACAATATAAATGGGAACCATCAGATGATATGTCAGGTAGTAAAGGCTAATTTGGGAATTAACCTGTGCTTACTCTTTACTCTCTTGTTACATTAATTGCTCATATATTTTTTGTTAAGTTGCTTTTCATATTGAAAGATAAGAAACTGCTTCCAAAGCAATGACTCCCAAATGACTTGCACATTCCCTGAATCATGCCATAGGCACACACACAGTTTCCAAAATACTGCCTGCATGTTTATCCATCAGCACTTTTATTACAAAGCCTTACCTTACTGTGGATGAATTCTACACAAGTGGATTTTTTTTCTGTGACTCAAATCATTGTCGTGCTACCCAAATTACTGACATTGGCCTGGATGAGTACTATGGCAGTAGCACAGCATTCTGTCACGTGACGTTCCCTAATGAGTTTAGTGTACTGAAATAAAATTGGTTAGATACTTCACGCTTTACCTAGCTTGAGCAAGGACTCCAGGATCTGGATGTGTGTTTCAACCATTGCTTTTAAATGTGTATGAATTGCAATGTAAGAATATTTTTTTCTACTTAGAAAAGAAAGAGGAGGAGGAAGAAGAGGAGGGGGAAGAATTTATTGAGGAAGAAAAAGAAAATTCAAAAGTCCATGCCATGGTTTCTGTATTCCATTTTATCATGAAGCAAAGTTACATTTGTGCTCTGATTGCAATGATGGTAGGTATCAGATAAGAATAACTGAGTTGTGAAGGTACATAAAGTCCAATTATAGAGATTGGCCAGGTCTAGAAATGAACTTCTGCTATGAAATGCAAAAATGTAGAACTCTTGGTTCAGGGATTAAAAGCTTTTAATACAATCATTTAATAAAAGGTATCATCTCTGAACCAAGAGTTCTAGATTTTTGCATTTCTTTTTGTCTCAGACCAACATGGCTACCAAATAGATCCCTTCTGTTATGAGTAAGGTCCTCTTCTAAGTGTTTTGCTGAGGGGCAGTTTTTCAGTGGCATTTTCTTTAAAGATTGTAAAATCTTCAGTTGATCTCTGAACCCATTGGGTGCACTTATGTGCAAAGTTATTCTCCAGTCCTACAACATACTCATGATAGGGCAGAAGACAGAATTTTAGGTGCAAGGGTTCCATGATAGGATTGGGGTGGTATGTGCTTATAGATCAGAAAACTCCCTGGTTCTCAGGTTTTGGTATTAGTTGATATTCACAGCTTTGGAAAAAAATCCAGTTTGTGCAAATACCTTTAGTTTGTACTGTAGCAGGTTCTTAACATGGTAATTACTTCTCTATCTGTATTTACAGTGCAGGCACTGGTTTTACTATTTTGAAAAATATTCAACTGGATTTCAATTTCCTATGAAGTTTCTTGGCCCAATTTTGTATTAAAAACAACAGAAACAAATTATTTTGACTCCTTTATATTTCAAGGGAGTAAAATAAAAATTATTTGTTTATGGTTTAAGACTTTTATTTACTGCCCTCTAGTAGGAAAAGTCTCTGGTAATAAACTAAACATGGCGGACTGCAAATCTGGATCTGATTTGGTACTTTTTGAGATGTTAGTAAGTAGTCACTTTCATAGTGGCACAAAATTCTGGGTTTTGTTTTCCAGTATCTGTTAAACATATTGTCTAATTATTTTAAAATCCAATTCAGAATTTAAATCTGTCAGTGTAAAAAATGGAGCTAAATATTACTTTTCGGAATCTTGCATTGAGACATCAACTCTGAACAGTTAACTTCACTTAATACCCTATGTTAAGTGTCCTGGGCCAAATTCATTTCTGGTGTAGGTCCCATTTACACTATAGCCAGATTTGCCCCATTATCCATGGTATTATTTCATATCTCAATGGAAGAATATCAGTGATTCCTGATGACACAAAAGGACATTATATCAGTTCAGGACAAGCCAAGTCTATATGGTCCAACCTTAATTAAAATATTCACACATATTTATCTAATAATAATTTCTTGTTTGTAATAAAATGGAAGTGAAGCACTCTATTGAATAAGATACTTTGGAGTTACCCTGTGTATAGCTGAGATCTGAATCTAGCCACAAATCAATAACATAACTTTATAAAGCCCTTTACAAATGCAATGGCTTTCCCATATGACATAGTAGAGTGTTTTGTCCAGAGCAATTCCAAGTAACTACTTGCTTAAGTCCTGTGAACTGAACAGCATATTTGAATATACTGCAGGAAACAACCATACTTTGTATAGGGTAAGTCAGATGAGTACTAAGGGTTGGCATACACTGTAAATAAAAGTGCGATTAGAATATTTTAGATAATATTATAATTCAGCTGGCACAGGTCACAGTACCAGTAGAAACATAGCAGCAAGCAAGGCCGGATTAATGCATGGGCAAACTAGGCAGATGCCTAGGGCCCTAAGTAAAGAAGGGGCCAAGTTGTGCTGATTTTATATATTATAATTGCATGAAAAAATAATATAAATATACAGTAGTAAGTAGGGGCCCACGAGTTTGTGTGCCTAGGGACACAAGGGTTAATCCAGCTCTGGCAGCAAGGGACTTAAGCAAAACAGTATAAGCCTGTTGGGGGCTTTGTGGGCACACACATATTGCTAGATCATGCCAAAGTCTTTTCCATCTGCATCTTCACTGCTATTGTTACATGGTCATGCCCTCAGTCTACCCTATCTCCTTTGTCTATGAGTGAAATTGAAACAAGTTCTACAGTTACCGACAGATTCTGGAAGACCTGAACTAATGGTTCCACTAAAGTACCAAGGTATAACATCTTACAAGGAAAGATTCAGTCTCAACTGAGATTTTTCTAGGAATACAACCAGTTATCCCAGGGATTTGCTATGGCTGGCCATTGCAGTTCTGATTAACATAAATGGCAGTCACAGCAATGAAAATATATTGTGAACAGTGTGTTGGGTAAAGAAGTGTTGTTAAGTTTAACTGGATGTATTGAATATTCAAGAAACATTTATTTTTCTTTTTTCCTTCCTAAGGCTTGGAGTATCACATATCACAGCTGGTTGACTTTTGTGTTATTGATCTGGTCCTGTACACTTTGGATGATTCGTAATCGAAGGAAATATGCTATGATCAGTTCACCATTCATGGTTGTTTATGGAAATCTACTCTTAATGTTGCAATATATCTGGAGTATTAAACTCCACAAGCATGAGCTTCCAGAAATTGCAGACTTTTTAGTAAGGAAAGCACCTGGGGAACTAGCATCTAAGGTAGGTGTAATAGATTTACAAAATATCTGTGATTTGTTATAGGACTGGGCAAAGTGCAATAATCATCAATAAAAATGTGCAGGTCTCTATAGAGAAGGGATCTTCACTATAACACATAATCTTGCAAGGCAGCAGGTCTACAGTATGGGGAAAATAGTTAAAAATAAAATGGCAGAATCTGCCTTTTTCTTTACAAGTCAAATACAAAAATGAACATTTCTGATAAATTCTTAGAGTGTCTAGAGGATGGTATAAATTGGTTCTCATCAGAGAGAAAATAGAAAGGGTGTTTGGCTTTATAATACATAAGCAATCATGAGGCAGCTTTTATTTAATTAGAACTCTTTGTATATGTATATATGTCTTATGTCTTTTTGTCTTATCAATTGCATGGTTTGTATAGGTGAAAACTCAGTGCCACATTTCTATGCTGTTCTCTTTTTCTGAATACAGCAGACTTCCACTTCTTTCTCTTTTTTACCTTCTGGCATAGATTACGTTGTTGGCAGCATTTCTGGTGTGGCAGCATTTTTATCTTGTTAGACCTCAACTCTTACTAGGGATGGGTATTTGACCAGTCAAATAAAGTTTGGTCAATTTATTGATCAAATATCAGTCAAAAATTGTAAAACAAATTGCCAATACATCCAAATTATACACAGAAAGAGCACACATTTTCCATTAAGAAATGTGTCAAAAACAATAAAAAATCATATTTCTGTCATGAAAACTACAAAATGTAGGGGTTTTCTGTTTGTTTTGGGGTTCTTTTTGTAAAATCGCTATAATCTTTGACTGGTCAAAAAATATGCAGTCAAGTTACTGGTTAATTGGTAATGATTTGGCCAGCTTGCCAGCCCTAACTTTTACAACTCCAGACATATCTCAAATCATTTATGAATATGTTAGCCAGGCTGTTGTGCATGGAACTCAATGAAATTCAAAACTGTAAATACAGCCTCCTAGTAAATCTATGGTCAAACTCCCTATTGATTTAAATATCCAGGGAGTTTGGCCCACACTCTATAAGTTCAGCCCTTAGTAATTTTTTGCTTTTCAAATTATCCACAACCACAAATAATCATTAAATAAATTAATTTTGTGCAGAATAATAATAATAATAATAGCTTTTCAAAGTGACTCTGAGAAGATTTCTAATGCAAGTATTCTCAGGAGTATTTATTTGTGCATTTATCCATGATCTATTTGCTGTCCATGAACAATCTTATGAATAAAAAAGCACCTGGACATTTGTCAACAATTGAATAAAAGGTGTTGTAAAATTCAGTTAATCATTAGGTTTTATTCATAAGTGCCTCTCTTGCTGTATTTGTATATCCATCATATGTCAGGTATGTCTCAACTTGAATTCCACGGTCTGTATCATGGGAGGGGTGGAAAAAGTGGATTATACATCAAAGGTCAGCAGTTTGGTTTTTTTTACTTGAGAAAATTAGCTGCATCAAAATACTTGAAAACTATGTTTCAGAAGAATAAATTAACTCTGGCCCTTTTTCAACAGAGTTCTTACCTAACTTGAAGCATGTAAGTTAGCTCACTGGAGCTACTACTACTCCTCAAAAGCTTAAAATTAGGCACAAGCATTGTTGAACTGAGCTTTAGGGTGTTTTTATACATACTCTGGGAGTGTGTGTGTGGAGGGGGAAAGGGGGCACTTTAACTAGAGAGGCTTGTCAACTGAGTTTTAGATAAAATGCCCCTGCTACCATGTTGAAACATGAGAACACTGAAACACAAGATGCAGGAGACTGCTGGAGCACATTAATTGCAAGGCTCCAACAGACTCCAGCAGACTCAGTTAATCAAGTCTGCTCTGACGCACTGGAATTACAGTGAATTAAAGTAACCTCCCTGCTTGTATCTGGCACCCAGAATATATCAACCTGGGTGCTGACAGATGTGCAGGTCCCTGCTCTAACTCATGGTGCTTTGCCATTGGCCTAACCCTGATTGCACTGACAGATTGACCGTAGGGAACACAAGTTCCCCAAGGTTCTCCACTTCGGAGTATCTTCATCTGATCCCTCATTACTTTGTCGTGCAATCACCCACTTTTAAAGTGCTCTGCAGATGTGCATGTGTGTCACAGCACAGCTATAGAGTGTTTCAGGGGTCCAATTGCACAAGAAATAAAACTTCTGTCTGCACCCTCATGTCACAAATAAAATAATTTGCTAGTATCACTTCATGACAATTTTTCCACACAGATTTTTTCACAATCTTGAAACCTTTACCAAATCCACTCCATTTGGCAAATTGTTAGGGACCTACTGAAATCGCAATTTTGCAATTTTCATGGATACCATGATTTCAGGCAGGCTCCATAAAAAACCTCAAGCTGCACAAAAAAGCACAAGCTTGACACTTTCGGTGAGTTCCCTGGAAAAAAAAATTAAATGCTGGCTCCCTTTGGGGAACCAGCAGTCCTCCTGGCCACTGTGGCACCAGGGCTCCTTGCCAATCAGAGGTATGTAGGGCCTGCCACATTTGGCCCCAAAAATGGCTGCCAGCCTTGTGGTCTGACCACAAAATCAGCTAGTAGCCACCTCAAGTTTACTAGACCCCTACTGCTTCTCTTTAGTGGGGGAAAGTGAGTCCCTAATAGAAGCTGCTTTGTTGAGTACCCAAGGGGCATCTCACATAGTGTGTATGTCTGGCACCATTTTCTTAGAGTTAAGTGAACCACTTCCATTGTGATATCCCCTGACTTCTACTTGAAAAGATGCTGTATCTGTATTTCCTGCTTGGCATGTCCCTAGGCCAAACCCCTAGGTTTTTTGCTTTATGATGCATATAAAGAGTAGGGATGTGCAAAGCAGGCCCTATTTGTTTCATAGTTTCATAGTTAGTAGGGTCAGAAGGGACCTGAGCAGATCATCAAGTCCAACCCCTGCCATGGCAGGAAAGAGTACTGGAGTCA